GAATTAACAACTTACATTAAAAAGGACATCTTGCTTAAAAACGCCCGCGAACTAAAAGGAAAATCTGTCTTTTTATCGAACGATCTAACTAAGGCTGAAAGAGAGATTAATAAAGTTCTATATAGTAACCTTAAAGAAGCTAGAAAACTTGGACTTACGGCCTTCATTAAAAAAAACAATTTACATGTGGGAAACGATATTTACACATACGAAAATCTGTTACAAAGTGATATTTTCAAATCGACATCTGGTGATTTAGACGAAGATGTTTTTTATGGGCCGCCTCCGAGGCGCTCTGTAAGCGTCCCAGGTTTATCTGCGTTATCCCTGACGGAAGATGATTCGAACGACTTTTTCGTAGCAGTAGACGATACCCCTGAACAAGTAGCCACGACACCAATTGAAGAGCATAAACCAGCAAATCTGCAAGAAAATACAAAAACAGGAACAGACGATAAAAAAGGAGACAAACAAGACCCAAGAAGAAAAGTAATAACCAGAAATCCTGCTGCGGTAGATACTCCTCCTACGAAGGCAACTCGATCATCTAGTCGCTCAACTCGACAAAAGTAATTTAGTAAAATTTGGTATGTATGCTACTTATTGACATTCATATTCATATAATATTGTGGCAACGTTTCTAAATAAAACATGAATGAATATATAAAGAAATTTACTCCTACAAATCATGAATGCTTGACAATTAACAACGTTAAAGATTATCAAAAAAAAGCTAAAAAGTTTAAACATTCACTAAAACTATTCCATATTAATGTTTGTAGCATTGCAAAAAATTTAGAAGAACTTCTTATATTTATCAAAGGATTAGATGAACAGTTTGACGTTATTGTGCTAACTGAAACATTTATAATTTATGATCCAAGCCAATTTCACATTCCAGATTACGATTTTATTTACAATGATAGTAGGTTAAATAGAAACGATGGTACAGTAGTTTTTATCAGGTCAGATATTCGTTATGCTTCTAGAATATGCAATATTGGGCTTACACTGGGCATTGAACTGAACTTTAGCATAAATCAAACTGAATTTGATTTAACTGCACTGTATAGATCTCATGAGATTAACTGCTTAAATTTCATAGAGAGTCTGGATGATTACCTACAAGAAAAACCAATAAAAACTTGTCAAATTATTATTGGAGACTTCAATGTTGACATTTTGAAGCAAACCAATGTCTCAGATGAATACCTTAATTGTATGTATGCCAACGGGTTCCTGCCATACATAAATAAAATAACAAGAGTCAGAGGTGATCAGTGTTCTTGCCTGGATCATATATTTCTAAGATCAAACAAGAAACAGCTAAAAATAGAGTCCATCATTTTCGAATACAATTTAACAGACCATTTTCCAATTATGGCTTTTATAGAATCTGAAAAAAGGCAAAAATGTTCTTTACAAAAGACTTTTAAAAAAAATTACACAAATTACAAGGAAGTGATTAACAAACTGCAAGCTCCTGAAACGTGGAACAATTTTTATAGAACCCAGAATTTGGAGAGCGCGGCAGAAATTCTGATTGAAAAAATTAAATCAACAACTGAGGCTTGCACAAAAACAGTTACTTCTAAAATAAAATCTGAAAACTGGATGACAAAGACATTGATAAATGCTGTCTCCCAAAAAAATAAAATGTACACACAAGTAAAGATACAGCCGGAGAACAAAGAACTGCATAACAATTATAAAAAATATAAAAATAATTTAACAAACGAAATAAACAACGCTAAAAAGCGGTATTACGAAAAACAGGTGAAAAACGCCACAAATTCCTCTCAAAGGCTATGGAAAATGACGAACAACATAACAAATAACAACAAAAAAACAGATCTAGATATGAAACAAATAATAGTAAATAATAACACAACATACACAAATACAACAGACATTGTAGAAGCTTTCAATAAACACAACTCTGAACTTGGAGAAATCTATGCAAAAAAAATAAAACCCCCACATATGACACCAGAGGAACAACCCAAGACTTTAAATTCAATTTTTTTAACCCCAACCACACCCACAGAAATTCAAAACCTTATAAAAAAACTAAAATCAAAAAAAACTCCAGGACATGACCAAATTAGAGCGGAATCTTTAAAAAATATATCACAAGTAATATCGCCACATCTGTCCTTCTTAATAAACGAATGCTTTGCAACTGGATATTTTCCTAAAATCTTAAAAATTGGGATTATTAAACCAATATATAAAGGAGGGGACAAAAAGCATATCATAAATTATAGACCTATAACTCTCATTTCATCTGTTGCAAAGGTCTTCGAAATGGCAATAAAGGAACGACTTATTGGTTTTCTTGAAAAACATAAACTACTCTCGGAAAAACAGTTTGGTTTCAGAGCTGGCAGATCGACTGAGGATGCAATAGTGAATTTAACTAAAAAAATTAATGATTCATTAGACAACAAAAAACCTTCACTTTGCATTTTCGTCGATCTTGCCAAAGCGTTTGATACGGTGGATCATGCAAGGCTTGTCAGGAAACTGGAACGGATTGGACTTAGAGGACCGTGCCTTGAGCTGCTTATGAGTTACCTAAAGGATAGAAATCAAACAGTGCAAATTGAAGATATTTTTAGCTCAATGAAAACTGTAAAGTATGGCGTCCCACAAGGAATGGTCCTCGGTCCATTATTATTCATCGTTTACATCAATGACCTATTTTCCGTAAAAACCAGAGGCGATTTGGCAAGTTTTGCAGATGATACAGCCGGATTTTTCAGTGCGGACACTTGGCCGGAAGTAAAGCAAATAGCTGAAGAAAATTTCAAACAAATACAAAACTGGTTCAATCATAATTCTCTTACAGTAAATATAGATAAGACATATTATTTGCCGTTTTCGTCTTATAAAACAGGGTTGCCTATCAGTGGAAGCTTAATTATTGCGGGTTCTAGAAGTATAAAACAAGTGGAATCGGTTAAATATCTGGGAATTACTATAGACCAACACTTAAGGTGGGATTTGCATGTAAATAACCTTGTAAAAAAGCTCAGGTATTTGGTGTCTAGATTTCAATGTTTCAGAAAATATTTTAAGATGTCTGATCTCAAAACTTTGTACTTTGCACTTGTTCAGTCTCACTTGACATATGGCCTCTGCGGGTGGGGTGGCGTTAATGACTTTAATATTTCAAAACTAAATACAATTCAAAAATGGATCCTTAAAGTAATCTTCAACAAAGATAGAAAATATTCCACAGAAAAGGTAGCTTTAAGGATTTTCAAAAATAAAGAACAAATTGAAGTCGTGAGTCACCCGCACCAAACAAGAAATGTAGTTAATAAAAAGTCTAAACTTCCAAGAGCCAATAAAACAATAGGCACTAGACATATTGGCTATATTGCTCCTAGATTGTACAACATTATCCTAGATTATGTGAAAGGTGAAAGAAAAATTCAAAAATTTAAAAAGGAATTTAAAAACTGGATTAAAGCAGCAAATGACCTTATTAAAAATATAATCTAAGTGACTTGAAAAAAGTGTTCTGTAATGATATGATGTGGCAAATATATTCTCGAATGTGACTTAAAAAACTCGAAATTGACGTTATCCTCGATTAAGACATTTTTACCGATCAAGACTTTTCTAACGGATTAAGACTATAAAACTGTGAAGTATTCCTTCACAAACAACCTTCTCACAACAAGTGTGTAACACTTCAAACGTGAGTCTGTTTATTGCCATTTACATGTTTTCATATAGGCAACCTTAAAAGAATTGCTATTTGTATTATTTGAAATTGTAATGTTTGAATGTCAATAAACAAATTTATTATTATTTATTATTATTATTATTATATGACGTATTTTAGAAAATGTCAAAACCAAACAAATTATGTAAAAAAATATCCAGGTACGTATTAGAGAAAATTAAGTTGATGATGGCGTTGGAAAACCGAAACTTCGAATTTCTAGAATAATATCAACACAGTAAAGTCCACCCAAAAGTGCTTCAAGAAAGTTATCTTGATTTTTCTTGATTTGTTAAAATAAAGCCTGGAAAAAATAAAAAATCGCAGTTTTCGGAATTTTCCGTATATTTCCGGAAGTAATAGGAATTTCTGAAATTTTAAAACGGTATCAAAATGCGCAGCTTTTTTTTAATTTAACCACTCTAACGGATACCCATATCCCCATGTTGGCTCTCGAATTTGGGACACCCTGTACAGTAATTTGTCTAGAGGCCAAGATAACATTTTTAGTCCGCATAAAAAAAGTATTGAAAAAAGTTTGTTGCCCAAGTACCTGGTGTTTTTACATAAAATATTTATGATCCGTAATATGACGTGTATGTATACCTATTTCATTATTAGGTAGTTGAATTATAAGAAAATCTTAAGAATAAGAAACGTCAAATAAAAATGAAGCTGTTAATGTGACTCTAGTCGCAAGTCACAGCTCATAACCCTAATTGGTTTGAAAATCTTAAAGATATAACCCGCAACTCGCACATGGACAAAGTTATATCATCTGATAGGCGGATTTATTGCCTCACCTCAACCTCAAGTTTAAAATCAGGCTAAAATTGACAAAAAAAATTAATCAGCATTTTTATGAAGCTCAAAGATCTGATAAAAAATGACTTGATGGGTTGTTTTTAGGTTATTACATATTTTGGACTGTGAATATGTAAAAGTGAGAAATTTCTTTGCACACATTAGAGTTAAAAAGCAAGAAATATTTATTAATTAAGCTAGATTGCAACAAATCCATTGTTAATGTTAACAAATCTCCATTTTTAATTATCATGCTCCATCTTACCCTATCTAAGCCACATTCGTATTCCCTTGAACACAATCAATACAATTTATTATTAGTTAATGAAACAAGTTGACCGAAAGAAAGTGCCATATTATTATATTAAAAAAAAAAAATTATTTTATTTTATTGTGACACTTCCTTTATATTTCCCAAAAACCAAATCTAAATAATAATAATTATACATAATATACTTACATGCTGTCATTCGGATCATTGCCTCCTTCTTCTGCCACCAACAGTTCGTACTCCTCAGCAGCGTACCTGTCCCAATCGGACATTTCCATTCCGTCAATGTCGTGGTCCCTCTGCGATGCAAAAGGATCTCTCTGTTCGTGATCTAAATATTTTTCTAAATTGAAGAATGTGTCGAAGAAAATTGGCGTCATTCTGCATTTTTTCAGATCGCTCAGTGCCACTTTTCCAACGATCTTTGGTTTTACCATGTCCAGCATTTGACAAAGACAATCCTAGAACAATAAATTTTCAGATTAACTTGCATATTTGGAACTTCCACTATTAATTTTCTGAGTAACCAAAGTAGGAAGAAAATTTTTACCTGAAAAGGTAAAGTTTCAATCCCGATACTTTCCATTCGCTGCATTTGTTCCTCATAAAAGTACTCTAGCTCGTACATGGACAAGTACCCATCGCCATCCAGATCCATACAACGGAACCAGTACTCAATGGCTGTCGGGTGCAATTTGTCCTCTTCACTGAGCAGAAACCAAACAAAATCGGTGTAGGACATTTTTTCTTCGTGTTGACGTTTGTTGCCTCTTGTCACGCAACCAGAAAATATACGGTCAATGATACGAGAGGACAGAGCTAGAATAAAATATGTAAGTAAATCAATTGAAACAATAAGAAGAGTCAAAGTTGCTTTTTACCATGATCGTTATGCCGTGTAAGATCTTGTTTATCAATAAATAGATCATGGTCTCTGTCCAGTTCCCAAAATTTACAATAAATAACGTAAAAATGTTCATAACTAAAATACTGAGTAATTTGATTGATGTCCTCTTCTTCTTCCAAAAGCTGAATGATGCCCAAAAGATTTGACCTCCTGAGCTCCGCTATTGATATTTTGGCTGACCAAGAACGATTGACACAGTAGTATATTCTAAAATAAATAATTTTCAATAATTATCCTCAATGGACAATGAAAATAATTACCTGGCTATGACAGTATGCACATATCTCGAATGGAATTCAGTGGCTTCCTTCAAAAAAGTAAGTCCAGGATGAGTCTCGACAACGTCCTGGACAAGAGGAATGAAATCTTCAGGAACTAAATACTGTCGCCGGCCCCTCGTAAGAATATAAATGAAACGAGACGCGGCATCGTGACAATTTTGAGTCATAGCTTGCCAAAACGTCATAAATTGGTCTAAGCTGCAGGCACCTTTATCCGCACATGCTGCTAAGAATACAGGAGTTTTCCAGTAGAGCGGTAGCTGACAGGCTTGAACAATGGCACCGAAATGTTCTCTGGACGCTCTATCGCCGATTCCAATAAAGGCTGCCTTAACTGTGGCTTTAATCGCTTCCATTTGAGCGGGTGAAACAGGTTTGCCTGTTGGATAGTGAAATTTGGGAATATTGACGTTTCGATGAGCTCTGACGTGCCTTTGTAAAGTTGTGTGTTGGAGTGAGGGTTGTTTTGGTAAAGGCTAGAAAAAAACAAGTAGGTATATTTCAGAGATAATACTTTTTTGTTTGAGATTCAGGAAACAAACACAACTTTGAAGAAATAGTAATTTTTTTGAGAAAATCGATAGCATTGTGCGTGAGGGCTTTTCATTGGTTCAATACTACAAAATAGACCAAATATCGTCATCTTTAACTATTAAAATAATGTATTCTTGTTCCAAAAAACTTTTGAAAAATTCAATCATATTGTCTCTCTAAGATTAGAATGTAATTGCCCAAATTAAATTCGCACCTGTTTTCTGACATTCACAATAGTTAAATGTCTTGTAGGCGGAATAAATTGAATATTTCCTGTTACTCTTGTTGTTTAATTTATGGTAATTTACTATAATTTTGCTTTAATTTATTTTTCAATAATGTGACTCTACCATTTAAAGATCTCTATCTGTAGATATATAATCTAAACTAGCCTATTTTTGAGCTAAAATTACATGTTTTCTTCGTATATGTTTTTTTGGTGTCATTGACTCAAAAGCACCATATAACTGAAATTATTTTAGCGTTTGTGGATTATTAGAGCCTTGATATTAAATGCCTACATAACTTTTCGAATTTATATTTAAATAAATAAATGTGAGCTTTTCTCATCTATCGGTTTTCAACAGTCTAGTAGTTCAAATTGTTTAGTTTGTGTTTAAATTTACAGATAATCTATCTAGTGAAAGATTCCAGAGAGCAGAAATACTAACCCAAACTGTACTAGGTTAGTTTAAAATGATTATAACAAGTTTTGTCCCTAAAGTAAAACATTTAAAAAGATTCTACATGTGAAACGCCAGATAAAAAATAAATAAATAAACTCTTAGCCTTGACTTCAGCCCATTTGTTGTTGCAATAAATTATCAATTTAATTCAACTCGTACGCCTAACCAAAGCCTACACTAAACAATCGGGAACATTATTAGGATTGTGTTTAGGCACGGCAATTTGTTATGCAATTAATATATTGTCAGCTGTTTGATGCATACATGCTGTGGAATAAATTTTTAAAAATGTAAACAAACTTTTTACCTGTGATTTGTTAATCTGTGGCACGGGCGCCCGCACCCGTTTATCCAGCAACAAATCGCTGGGGCACCGTTCGAAAATCAGCACCCTCTCAGCTACGGAACCCCGCGTCAAAAACGGCCTAACAGGATTGGCCGCCGATTGACGTAGGTGCAGTCTTTGGCTTGAAGTTAATTCAGGATGCGGTACCTGAAAAAATTTGGTTCAATGAATGATATCTCATTTTATTAATAGCTTAAAAAAACTTACCTGTTGTTCAGGTCTCTTTGGTGTACTTCTTAATCCCCATTTGGTGGTACCTTCTGAAGTCCGTTCCGGTTCTCGGATTATGTGTTTTGTAGGTATTTGAGTTATAACAGGTTCCTCGTTTACAACGTCACCGTTTTTGAGAGCGTTTATGAGCCTTTTTTCTTCAAGTGCCACCTGGAACAACCGAGATGAAAATGAAGTCACTCATTAATCCGGTTGACAGGTAGTTAATCTATATTTTCAGGTACTTTGAGTTTCGCTTGTTGTCAACTTGTGACTGAGCAGGGCATTATTTGAAGGTTCAATTAGAACTTGTATACCATATTGTTGAGTCTAAATAATTTTATAGCTAGTAGAAAATTCATTTAACCAAGCAGGCTCACTGGAATTTGAATAAAAAACTACCAAGCCATGATTTTACTCTTTTTTTCCTTAGAGTTTTTAGTCAATAAAAAAACAGAAAATTATGACACTAACTTCATTCCTCAGAATGATTGAATGGATTCAGACAAAAATATAGTATAGTGCAAACTTATTCAAAAGGTTAAATTGCAGAGTATATTCTATAAAACAGATAGTGAAATTAATTACCCATTAATGACCCCAGTGTCAATACTGTTACTTGGTGCTTCTGAGAGTTAAATAACATTTTCACTGAAATTTATCTCAATAAAGGGACTACAATCCCTGAAAATTTCAGCTCATTTGCACTTATAGTTCCTGAGATAAAATCGTGTTAAGCAATTTGGGGTGATTTATCAATTTTTCAATTTTTCTGAGAATAATTGAGTGTATGAAGTTTGGGGGATGATAATTGACCATTAGGATACAAAATCTCAACAAAAAAAAATTTGAAAGCTACCTTATGATTTAGATTTTGGAAAACTTTGGAAATGCATAACTTTTTCTCTATTATAGATAGAAAGCTGAAATTTATCTCAATAAAGGGACCACAATCCCTGAAAATTTCAGCTCATTTGTAATGTCTGCCCAGCGACTCTGTGTCTACGGGGCAACGGTAAGGGGAATGCAGTTGTAAAAAAAAATGGCTGATTCCATTCATAAAATACCCAGCTGCGTGCGGAATTTTTTGGAAGTGTTATCGTATTGCAACTCCTACACGAAAATCGAAAATGACCAAACCCCCGCCACTGGATATTTCAATATAAATCGATATTCCAAGATGGGAGGATACAATGACAGAAGCCGTGGCCAATAGCGAGACGTAAGGTGACGTTTAGCCCATTGACAACGACATGGTTCCTCGTGGCAACGGCCATCCTGCCAAAAACTCCACCAATCAGGTTCATCCAGGCCGGATGCTTGCCAAATTGTCAAAAACTGATGGTATCTTTAGAAAATGTTTATTTTTTACAATGGACAAAATTGAAGAAATCAGTTATTAGAATAAGAATAGATCTAACAACCACGTTGAAACTTTTAGCGTTTTATTGGTATCTATATTTTGTTATTAAAAAATGGATTTTCAAATGAACTATACTTCATGCCTAGTATTTTCGCTTTTTTATAATTAAACGTGACAACATGGCACATTTACGTCCGAATTCCTTCCGTAGACTCAGATCCGCTGGGCAAACAATACTTATAGTTCCTGAGATAAAAATGTGTTAAGCAATTTGGGGTGATTTATCAATTTTTCAATTTTTATTATGATTTAGATTTTGGAAAACTTTGGAAAGGCATAACTTTTTTTCTATTATAGATAGAAAGCTGAAATTTTCGCTGAAATTTATCTCAATAAAGGGACTACAATCCCTGAAAATTTCAGCTCATTGGCACTTATAGTTCTTGAGATAAAATCCTTTTTTCATAGATTATGGCTTCAAAACTTTGGAAAATTTGAAAACATCAGTTTTCGCACCAGTTAGTATGCAATTATCTGATAATTTGCACTAGTGCAATGGAAATTATTGATAATTTTTGGGAAATTTGCCCGAATGCATTTTTAGTTGAAAAAGAGCACGAGTGCACGTAGTGCACGAGCGGTAAAGGCACTTTCCGCATGTGTTAGGTACAAAATTTTACCTATGAGCATCTACATCTCCAAAAAAAGGCATTGATAAAATTAATTAATGAATCAGATTAATTAATGAAATTAGATAAGATTTAGAAATGATCAAAAATCCATTTTCTGAAAAAGAGAGACTTTGTATTCTACTTTACCGCATACTATGCTGTAAAGTTAACTTTACCGCACACTATGCGGTAAAGTGCACTTTACCGCATAGTGTGCGGTAAAGTGATACTTTCCATTTGCAAATACGTGCGGTAAAGTGCACTTTACCGCACGCTCGTAGGTAAATATATTTCCATTGCACGAGTTGTATTTAATGAGAGAATTTCATAAATCAAAAATTTAAATTTTTTGTCAAAACATTTCAAAACACCAGTTTTCGCACCAGTTAGTATGCAATTATCTGATAATTTGCACTAGTGCAAATTATCGCCTAATTACAATCTGATTGGTTCAAATCAACAATCAAAACATGTCAATTTATTGTTGGAATACCAGTTTTGACAGATGTATGAAATTCTCACTGAAATTTATCTCAATAAAGGAACTACAATCCCTGATAATTTCAGCTCATTTGCACTTATAGTTCCTGAGATAAAATCGTGTTAAGCAATTTGGGGTGATTTATCAATTTTTCAATTTTTTTGAGTGCCTTTTTTCATAGATTTCGGCTTCAAATCTGAGAATAATCTAGTGTATGGAGTTTGGGGGATGTTAATTGACCATTAGGATACAAAATCTCAACAAAAAAAAATCTAACTAGCAGTTCTTGAATTAAAGTCAAACTCGGATATAACAACCTATAAATTGCTGGAAACATTGGCCATTCTAAAATTGTTCTTTATGTCATCCTTCAATAGTTTGTAATACACAATCATCCTTCCTTCATAATTTATTATAGCCAATCCTCTAAGAAATGCGGGACCAAAAACTAGGTCGTTATATCCGATTGTTATATGCAGTGTTTGTTATTCTCTCATGCCTTGGATAAAAGTGTACTTAACTAAGTTCACAAAAGTAATTGCCAATTTTAATTTTGAATAAAAATTTTCAAATTACCTCATCAATAGTAGTTTTTCCTGTCTTTGAAGGCAAAGCATTATACGTCCTTGCCAGTTGTGTACCACTAGACCTCAAGACTTGACTACTTTCCCTATAGGTAGGACTGTACTGATTTGGTTGACTAACTGGCGAGTGACTGTTGGGTGTAGTCGGCGAGTGTCCTCCAGTCTTTTTCACCACGTTATCAGTGCCGATGACTCGGTTTTTGAGTGGCCATGTTTGTAGTCCTGAAGGAATTAGATCGGGAGGTAGTGTCATTTCTATGGTTTCTGATAGGTGCGCTGGTTTTGGTGATATTTGAGGTTTTTGTCCGATGGTTGGTTTGAGTGATGATGGTGGTGGTGGTTGATAAGGCTGGAAGGATATTAGAGTATATTGTATGAGAAACTTATAATGCTAAGCGAGAGGTTTAAAATAATCTACAAATTTCAACTTTCACAGTCGCAACAAATGAAGGAGCGAGAAACGAAACATCTCTACCAACATTCTAGATGCTCTTCTAATACTGTCCAACAGAAAACAAAACTCAGGTACCACTAATTAATCCGATTTTTATAGAGAGAGTGAACTGAGGAGTTCACAAAAACTATGTTGGCAAAAATCACCGTACTTGACGTTCAAAAAATTATTAGTTCAGTAGTTATGTGAGGGAACAGAAGGTTTAGGTTATTAAAATAAAATTTGTACCTTTTAGTAATTTATTCGTGCGCATATCAATGAGATAAATTATCTGTCTGTCTTAGAATGAACTTTGTGAAGAAGTGACAGAACATTTTAGAAAATTTTTCCAAAATTATAAGGCTATTATCATTCTGATGCTAGAAAGATGCAAAACATGAAAAGTAGATAGAATAGCGTCAATGTTAATGACGATTGATCAAATAGAAGAAATCTACTCAAATACTTTAACAATCTCAAAATAATCCATTACTGATCCTAGATCATGCTTTCTGTAAGCACCCCTAGTTTCCGATTAATTGTTGGAACACACTTTATATCAAATTAAAATTCAAGTGTTCATCTTGTGCATTAACTTAATTAAATGCGGCCACGTCAATTCTCATCAATCATTACAGGACTGGGATTTACCTAGGATACATTAGCTAATCCAATTAATAATGCAATACATCGTTAGTTGAGGAAATGTAAGCTGATTGAAGGCTCGTCAAAATTTTAAGTAACGAGACGTTCGACCTTGTATTTTTGGCCAACAATATTTTTGACCTTAATTTATTTCATGAAACACCTTATTTGCCAAACAAGTGCAGTGTTATGCTGAAGATTACAATAATTATTCTGATGGTATTCTTAAACAAAGACTTTGTTTTTAGGCCCTAAAAACTTTCACTTGAAATAATAGCATCTAGATAAATGTGCATTATGTCATCAGTATAGTAAATCACGAGCCAAAAAGGTCAATAAGTCACGGATAATCTAATTTAATCGGTAAATAAATAATTGGACCGAAATATTATTGTCAACTGATCCACTTAACGACAATAAATTAATCTGTTTGACATTAATAACTGTAATTTTTACGATATAAAAATAATAAAATGATTACTGTAAAACAGTAGGGCCTCATAAGAGTTCCTGAACAATTCCACAGCTCCATTTTAACTAGCTATAAAAGTTTAAATCCTTGTCCTGATAAAAAAAATCGATTCCAATGAGGTTAAAAGGATTAGGAAATCGGAAAAATCGACTCTTTTATGCTATCTGAATTAGAAAAAGCAAACATTGCAAATTGCCCGGTCAAATTAACTGGCGCAGTAGTAGCAGGACGAATCATATCGGCTAATGGAATTCGTGATCGGGAAATTTAATCAAAGTTATTGAGTCTGGAATTTGCGAAAAATGTGTAAATATTTATCAAAACTTGTGAAATATACTATAATGGCTTTCTCTACAATTAAACTACTCGAAAGCATCCAACTGAAGCGATAGGGAACCAATCAGGGAATAGGAACTTCAAATAAATTTTAAAAGTTTTAAATGACTTTTCAGCACGAATGCGCTATTTGATGTTAATGATTCGAATGAAAACTCTAATAAAACAGAGTGTTAATCTAGGAGTTCGAATGGAATTTCTATTACTGGAATGTACAATTTGCATACCTATAAAAGTACAAAATATCAATAGGAAGTTTCGCATTTTCAGCAATAATAATTGAATACCTATCTCACTGATGAAAATACCATTCTGAAAATTCAACTGGAGGTTAATACTGAAAGTTTAAAGAAAGAAGTTGTCCTTTTCACTAGATTTTCTTTTTTACAAAAGCAGCCCTTCATGCCAGCTCCAAATTCATTTCCAGATAGCTCCAAATCAAGGGGTAAACCACCATCCCAGAATTGGTGCAAACAATTCCTCAAAGGGGAATTTTTTACGCATAATTCCTCAAAATTACTGCAAATTCCTCCAAATTCCTTCAGATACCCCATCAAAAATTCCTCCAAATAGCCCACCACAAACTTTTCCAAATACTCCAAAAATTCCTCTAAAAAAAGGGAAAATTTTGAAACTTTTTGCATGTAAAGAGGAAGGTGAAAAGATCATTTTCCCAAAATTTCAAATTTTTCCAGTAGAAAATTACAACCTGAAAAATCTTGGAAATCAACCTACAATAACTAAATTAATTGATAATACAGTCTCACACATTTCAAAGTTTTCCTGAAAAACTAGTGAAGGGAAAATTTTGTAACTTTTTGCATGTAAATAGGAAGGTGAGAAGCTCATTTTCCCAAAATTTCAATTTTTTCCAGTAGAAAACAGCAACATGAAAAATCTTGGAAATCAACCTACAAAAACTGAATTAGTTGAAAATACAGTCTCACACATTTCAAAGTTTTCCTGGAAAACTAGTGAAGGGAAAATTTTGAAATTTTTTGCATGTGATGAGGAAGGCGAGAAGCTCATTTTCCCAAAATTTTTAATTTTTCCAGTAGAAAATTACAACATGAAGAATCTTGGAAATCAACGTACAAAAACTGAATTAGTTGAAAATACGGTCTCATACATTTCAAAGTTTTCCTGGAAAAATAGTAAAGGGAAAATTTTGAAACTTTTTGCATGTAAAGAGGAAGCTGAGAAGCTCATTTCCCAAAATTTTAAATTTTTCCAGTGGAAAATAACAACATAAGGAATATTGGAAATCAACCTACAATAACTGAATTAATTGAAAATACAGTATCACATATTTCATCAGGAATATTGGAAATCAACCTACAATAACTGAATTAAAGGGGGTGTGACCCTAAAAAACAACTTAAGCTACTTAAATCAAGAAAAAAATTCTAAGATCTCTCATGAAAACCGCAGTCCTGTATTCGAAATAGTCTCCGAGAAAATTCCTTGTGAAGATCAATTATGCAGGAAATTGTGATGTCACAACCGCCGAAATCGCAGTCTTCTGGTCGTTCAGTCGTTAGTGAACCGTACCCTATACTTTGAGTGGTTGCAATTCGCTTTAGGAGATAATTATCTTTTGTTTTGGAGAATTCCCACACGTGTTAATACTGTTCCTAAAAATCCAGTGTGACGTCACAAACGCCTAGTTGTAACTTTAAACCGCCCTAACTCGAAAACGGACCATCGTAGCAAGATGCGGTTTGAATATTTATTCTTAGATTTTTTTGCACTAAAACTTTCATATTTGAGTCACACCCCCTTTAATGGAAAATATAGTATCACATATTTCAGTGTTTTCCTGGAAAACTAGTGAAGGGAAAATTTTGAAACTTTTTGCATTTAAAGAAGAAGGTGGGATGCTCATTTTCCCAAAATTTCAAATTTTTCCAGTAGAAAATTACATCAGGAATATTGGAAATCAACCTACAATAACTGAATTAATTTTAAATATAGTATCACATATTTCAAAGTTTTCCTGGAAAACTAGAGAAGGGAAAATTTTGAAAATACAGTCTTAGACATTTCAGAGTTATCCTAAAAAACTAGTAAAGGGAAAATTTTGAAACTTCTCGCATGTAAAGAAGAAGGTGCGAAGCTCATTTTCCCAAAATGTCAAATTTTTCCAGTGGAAAACAACAACTTGAAAAATCTTGGAAATCAACCTACAAAAACCAAATTAGTTGAAAATACAGTCTCACACATTTCAAAGTTTACCTGGAAAACGAGTGAAGGGAGAAATTTCAAACTTTTTGCATATGAAGAGAAAGGTTAGAAGCTCATTTTCCCAAAATTTCAAATTTTTCCAGTGGAAAATAAAAACATAAGGAATATTGGAAATCAACCTAAAATAACTGATTTAATTGAAAATACAGTCTCATATATTTCAAAGTTTTCCTCGAAAACTAGAGAAGGGAAAATTTTGAAACTTTTTGCATATAAAGAGGAAGGTGAGAAGCTCATTTTTCCAAAATTTCAAATTTTTCCAGTGAAAAACAGCAACATTGGAAATCAACCTACACAAACTGAATTAGTTGAAAATACAGTCTCACACATTTCAAAGTTTTCTTGGAAATCTAGAGAAGGGAAAATTTTGAAACTTTTTGCATGTAAAGAGGAAGGTGAGAAGCTCATTTTCCCAAAATTTCAAATTTTTTCAGTGGAAAATAACAATATGAAAAATCGTGGAAATCAACCTACACAAACTGAATTAGTTCAGTCTCACAGATTTCAAAGTTTTCTTGGAAAACTAGTGAAGGGAAAATTTTGAAACTTTTTGCATGTAAATAGGAAGGCGAGAAGCTCATTTTCCCAAAATTTCAAATTTTTCCAGTAGAAAACAGTAACATGAAAAATCTTGAACATCAACCTACAAAAACTGAATTAGTTGAAAATACAATCTCACACATTTCAAAGTTTTCCTGGAAAACTAGTACAGGAAAAATTTTGATACTTTTTGCATATAAAGAGGAAGGTGAGAAGCTCATTGTCCCAAAATTACAAATTTTTCCAGTGAAAAACAGCAACATGAAAAATCTTGGAAATCAACCTACACAAACTGAATTAGTTGAAAATACAGTCTAACACATTTCAAAGTTTTCCTGGAAAACTAGTGAAGGGAGAAGTTTGAAACTTTTTGCATGTAAAGAGGAAGGTAAGAAGCTCATTTTCCGAAAATTTCAAATTTTTTCAGTGGAAAATAACAACATGAAAAATCTTCATCAGCCTACAAAAACTGTATTCCTTATTCTTTTCATTTTTTAAAATTTGGACCTGTAAATCATGTAGTGTAATTTTGAGAGAATTTCTTTAATAAAAATGAATATCAAACGTCCAACACAAAATTAGATTTTTTTAAAAATTTTCATTTATTACGATTTCTTATAATAAGAATGTGAACCTCAGTGATGTCATGACCCTACACTTTCCAATTCTTTCAAATTCCCCATAAATTCCTTCAAATTCCTTATAAATTCCCAAAATTCTAATGAATTCCGATGAGTTCCTTCAAACTTTTCACAAATTCCTCTAAATTTCTCACAAATTCCTCTAAATTCCCCACATTTTTGGCAAAGAATTCCTAGGTGGTTTGCCCCTTGCTCCAAATAGACCAGATCATCACAAATCGTTAGTAGAATGAATTAGAATAGAAAACCACCTATAGTACGGAAACCAAAATCTCAAAACAAACAAATAATTCACCAAATAACATGCAATACTAAATTCAAAAATTCAATGTCAATCTTTCATTATTAACTGAATTATTAATAATTATAATAATAATTGTACCATGCGCATCATTAATAAATAAGAATTATTAATAATTTGTGTACACTATTGAAAATGACCTTCTTGCACGATGGTTAAAGGAAACGGTAGATATTCGGTTATATAAGAAAAAGATCATGCTTTCAAGCAACAACACTCTTTTTACCTTAGAACATTCATAATAATATACCTGAAAGTTCTTACCTGTTCAGCAGTCACCTGTCCATATCCAGGAACCTTTTTCCCCACCTGATTGCCAATTTTCTTCGGTCCAAATCCATTCTCGACGACCGAACCCTTTTCAAATTTCTGCAAGGCATACTGGATACTGCTAGGCATAGGTTTGGCAGTTCTGTTGGCAGCAGCCTGAGCTGCCAACCTGGCTTTGTCTTCGTGTACGAAATTTTTGACCAGTTTTTCCAGACGATTATTGTCCATGTTGGGCGCCTGCACCAGCAGGTCTATGGATGGCTTGGCCGGCGGTTGGGGTTTCAACATAGAGCTAGAGGAAAGAATATAATTAATATTTGCTCTACTTCTTAAGAATTTGCTGGTGGTTGAGGTTTGAATAAAGACCAAGAAAATAGAGACTGCAAACACACTATAATAATGTTGTAAATAATAGTGTAGTCAATCTAGGCAGGTTTATGCATGTGAGGTAGAAAAAATTAGTAACAAAGTGATCTCTGCGGAAATGAGTAGTCAATAGGGTCCTAATTAATCCCTCAAAAGTCGCATTTTGTCGCATTGGTGGAACTTGGTAAAAAATGACCGCCATCTTGATTTTTTTCGAATTTATTGAATATTTCGTTAAGTATGTATTACATCAAAAAAACTCAAGAGAACTTTTTTGTGGAGAATAAAAAGTTACTTATAATAAAAGAAATTTCAACACTATCACCTGGAAAACAAAAAAGTTAATAATGGAATTTAATTTATTTAAAAATCTGGAAATTTTTGAACTTTAGGTAAAATCGCGAAAGGTATGGATTTTTCTAATAAAACTTAAGAAAGCCTGTTAGTAGAGGATTAAAGATACCTATATTGAGATAAAAAAAAAAACATCAGTAATTATCGAGAAGTTTGGTGTCAAAGGTTCAAAACATGGTCTCAAGTTTCCAGTCTTCCACTTTCACTACTGGGAAGGTTTAGTGATTTTTTTATAAACCTTATAGTATGGAATTTAATTTATTTGAATTACTTAGTGTCTATCCAGACAGTACACAGACATCTTAAAGACGTCCCTAAGATGTCCACAAATGACATTCAAGATGTCTTAGACATCTGCTTACATTTTCAAGGCGTCTTAAAGACATCTTAAATACGTCGTATGTTACAAAACCCAACGTCTTTCAGACGTTTGCCTGAAGACTTCTTGAGAACTGATATTTTATTATTATTACTCATTTTATAAATTTCAATTTTTGTCTATTCTAAACGCTAGGGTCTCAAATTCTTGATTTCTTTAAACGAAAACATACGAAAAATTCATTTTGGAAGAAAACCATTTGAAGAAACAGGACTGAAAATTTAAAAAAAAAATCAAGAGCCTGAAATTCTGAAATACAGGAATAATGAGAATTTAAGAACATGGAAAGAAAATTCAACAGCCAAAAAAAAAGTTAAGAATTTAGAATAAAGAAGTAAGGAAAAATCAAGAGCCTGGAATAGAAATTTTTTTAAAAATTCAAGAATTTGAATTGCAAGAGGAACATTTTCTTGTTAATATTTCCTTATTATTTATTACTCATTTTATAACTTTCAATTTTTATCTATTCCAGGAGTTAGGCACTCTGAAATAATTCTGAGGTTTGTCTAAAGTGTTCCAACTTGGTTCGAAGAGTTCTGGAGCATTCTAGAAGTTTTTCAGTAATTTCTACATTGGGAAGTCCGCTCCTTCGAAGGATCCATGTTAAATTTCAAAATGTTCTGACAGATTTTTAAGTATTTTAGAGCCCTATTGAAGTTCCAAAGTAAAGTTGAATTGGTTTAAAAGCATTCTAGAAGGTTTCCAGTTCTAAATTGAATCGTTATTGTCCTAAGATCTGAAGTTTCTAAATTTTTCCAAAATGCTCCATTCTAAAAATGGTTCTGAAGTTTTCAAAATGTTCTGAAGCGCTACAGAACGCTGTTGGAAATTATGGATTGAATTTTAAGTATTTTGAACTTTCGAAAAGGCATATTATTGAAGTTCTAAAATCTAAAGTGTTCTGTAGCATTCTAAATGGTTTCAAGTAACTTCTAAAGTTGAATGAAAAACTAATTCTGTGGGAAATCTTTAAGGCGTCTTAAAGACATCTTGAAGACGTCGTATGTTACAAAACCCAACGCCTTTCAGACGTCTGCCTATAAAGACGCCTTTAGAACTAAGGCATTCTAAAGACGTCTTCAACGAAATTTCTAAAAGAAGTCTTTAAATCTCTTTTCAATACATGAACCATTATTCACTTTTAGGCCTGGCTGTACGAAATAGTGTGGCTCAGTTCAGTTGTCCTTGAGATGTGAATTTAGGACATCTTATTATTGAAGTTTTTAGACGTTTTTTTTTTTTTGTTTTCAGACGGTCAGATGCAATGCAGAATGCAGACTTAAAAAGACATCTTTAAGACTTTGTGTGCTGTCTGAGTCTGGGTAGTTTCCTGCCCAAATGATTTTCTTGTCATATGTGTTTTGTTTTTGCTCCCTCTAAACAAAAATATTTAGATTATTAAATTTATTGAATTTTTCTTCCATTTAATGTAGTTTTTCATTCTGCACAAAAAAAAAGAATACTTATTTGAGTTTTTTTTCAGATGTTTTGAAAAATTCCAATGTCAATAACTTTTTCGTTTTCAGCTAATGGTCTTGAAATTTCTCTCTATATAGGTAACTTTCGATTCTCCACAAAAAAGTTCTCTTGAGTTTTTTTGATATAATGCATACTTTACGAAATATTCAATTAATTCCAAAAAAATCAAGATGGCGGCCATTTTCCAAGTTCCACCAGTGCGACAAGGTGCGATTTTTGAGGGATTAATAAGGACCCTATTGACTACGCATTTCATCACTTTGTTACTAATTTTTTCTACCCCGACCACCTATTTTGACTAGCCTATAAGGCTCCGTCTTGCTTGGCCATTTTAAGAAATAAATAACATAATATCTAAGTTCAAAGAAAAACATTTTTCCAATAAATGCGCTCCGATATAAGTAGATCACATTTTTTTATTTAGGGAGATTTCGAGCGTTTGGATACAGTCCAAACGATGCGCGCGATTGAGAAACGAACTTTAAAAAAAATGTTATTTTATATTGAAATCGTATTAATTTTGTTACAAGATGACTTGTAGCAGATAGTTGACAAAATTGGGTAGTTTCTAACAATAGGCTTGGGCATTCTTGGTGGTAAATGTTAATTTATTGGAAATTTGGGATTCCAAAACTATCAACAATATTTATTGTGAAATTCATTATCAAATAAGAATTATGAATTCACAAAAAAGACTGCAAATTTTAGGAATTTTTTTTAGCAGTTTATGCTAAGTTGGATATAGCCGAGGATATAGCAGTTAGATTTGATGCTAAATAGAGCTGAAATATTCATTGAATTGGAAAAACAGACAATCAGAGGAAAGATTTATATGTCTACTTAGAGAGGATACGTATTTTGTCTCAAACAGAAGGTTGAAAATGGTAATATTCTTAGAAAGAATGCATTTCCTAGGAAAATGAACAGGGTACGGTTCTGGGGTCTTTACCTTTCATATTGTTACAAAATATAATTGGTCCGGAGGAGCTAGCACCACTATTCATGACCTGATCGCGATTATTCAGAAATTCCATCCTGTAATTTAAATAAACAAGAATTCACGCGTTTCTAAAGATTTTTCAAATGAATGTTTTTGTATTTAAAGCGTCAGTTTAAAACGAATTGTTGAATAGAGTTAAGTAAAAGGCGATAAACAATGGATAAGTAACTAATGAATTTTGTAGTCGATTAAATAATTTGTTGTTGTTAGTTCAAAATAGAACTAATACTCTACTCATCAGAACTTTCAAAGTCATGTGAACAAATTAAGATAAATAAAGATGTTTGTGGAAACTACCTACTTCTTATTGAAAGTATTGAAGTGAATTTCTGGCTCTTACTAGGAAATATAGGTAGCATAAATTAATATCTCGTCTTATGATCACAAAATATCAGCTGGTTCGCAATACCTAAACAAAATGCAGTTCAAGTCTTACATTATTCTCTATTTGCTGACATAAAACCTTTTCTGAAGAAATCGACACCAATCAACAAATTATCATTCCATTGAATATCCTCTGAACAAATTCATAACTTCTCGTAGAGATTCCACTGTTTACTGTTTCACTTTTGATTTTGTAGGTACGTACTTCAAAATGCAAAGGATTTTTTTTTTGGATCATGATTATATTATATTTATTCGGAAAAATTACCTCAGCACTTTTTTATTGTATATATGACCGAGCCCTCTAGCAACTTTGCTAGATTTTCAGATTTGAAAACCGAAAGCTTGATTACAGTTTCGCTTTTGATCCATTGACGGTATGTCAAGGACAATGATTTATCAATCGCCGGTTTTCTGTATGTGGATAGCTTGGGAAACAAATTTGTTCATAACCAAGGGCAAGAAACATTCAACAACACTATGTCATTTTTAGTTTATTTAATTGAGGTTGCACTGTTTACTGTACCCCAACGTTAAACTTCCAGTGTTAACTGTGGATGATGATTTATATAAAGAAAATCCACATAACCAAGCAGTGAAGTTTTAGAGTGTTCACCTAAACATTTCATTAAGTGTTGAAAGTTATTAATACAACCTTATCTATGAAGTACTTGAACTAAGCTCTTAAATATAACTGATCTCTTATAATCCAAGTCACTCAAATTTGTTATTAGGGTAGAAAACTGGACTAAACACGTCATCTGGATCAGCAAAAAATTACAGATGATAAAAAATCGTACATAAAATTTCGCTCACCTTTTCGCTCCACGCTTTCATCTTGGATATTGTATATTCTATCCTCTAATATATCATTTTGGTTTATTTTAAGCACACTTATACACGCCACTGGTTAACTTAGATTCAAAACAGATTTAGATCTTCATAGACACGTCCGTTGCAGAAATACAGCAAAATGGTAACCGGCACATTGAAATCCTTTGATACATAATTATTTAATGACACCGGTTTTTATAACATTTTCCACACTTAAAATCAATCCACATTTTTCAATTATTATAACAGTCCGGAAACATTTTTTGTAGTACCTACAACCTCTTATATAGAAATTGATTCAATTAGTTTTTTAAGTAAATTGAAGTTACTTAGAAAATTTATATTATCACTGGCAAGGAACGCGGAACGCGATGCTGTAGCTAGATATATACGACACAAACGACTGGACTAGATTATTCAAACACATCCTCGAAGAATATCCGAAAATAAACCCCGGCGAATTTATCTATGAGACTTTTATATGTTTTTCTATTTG